AGATCTCAAAATGTGACTTTCCAGAAACCAAATGTATATGTACAGTTAAGTGGACCATGTTAGTTAAGAGCAGCAATAAAACTGAAAATAAATGTAAGTGTTTTGTATATTTAACCTTCAATTTACTGTTAGAAATATAGAAAGCAAGCTTTATACTGTCCAGTACACCGTCAATCTACATTATCTACTTAATCTGCCATCAAATTTAATGTTGACTATAGTTTCCCATCTCTATCCAATTGTTTTGAAGTCTCTCTTCTGGATAAAGAAAAGTATCTTGATTTGCATAAGAGCAAAGAGTATACAAGGTGCAGCCTCCACTGCACCATATAAGTTTGCATCCAAGTTTGCGACTGGACCACATGTTTGAACAAGCACTGACTGGTGGTGTCCATTACTATCTACAGTGTAATTAAGAAAAAAACATACCCAGTCTCCATTGGAGCAAATGTGCCTCTTAGGTGGCACCTGGGACAAGAAGCAGATGCTTATGGTCAGTCTTTTTTTTCAGCAGGATAAAGCCAACAAGTAGCAATGGGAATGGATTTTTGTTCATTTTTACTGTTAGCATTCAACAAATAGCTTCTGTCCATTTTAGACCTCATGAACCAAAAAGTCATTATAATGTATCAACTATTATCGCTGACTATGCAGATTCACTGATATTGCTCCCCCAAAATTTGAAATTCTAGATGAAAATTGAAGTGCCAAATTGTACTAGGATGAAAAACATGCATTGCGCAAGGTGAGGATAAAAAAAATCTAATTCCATTCGGTATTCCAAATAAGGTCATCATCAGCGCCTCCATACAGTACAAAATGTTTGCAGCAGAAAATAGAACAATAAATGATGTCACAATCTTTTTCCTGTGCCACAATAAAAGCATGAGAGCAAAGGTCAGCGATACTGCTGGTTTGTGGTTATTGACCAGAGCCATTAGACGCAAGATTCTATTTTAGTTGCCTTCTCATGCAGTATTTATCTGCACGCACATTTATTTTAATATTCTAAAAGTTTTTAAGACTTTTGAAGTGAGTCTAAACCTCCATTTTGCAATTTTCTCAACCATGTACTGAAACTGCTATGACTAATCCAGAATGATCATGACCGTTGTAAAGTGTTGAAACTGGCGTCCTTTTATGTGCCAGTGGGATCTGATCTGCTCTCCAATGAACCAATAAAAAGGTTCACGCCATGTTTACTGGATTAGAGTTAAACCAGGAAGGAACTTTTCGTTTAGAAAACGCAGATGACACCTCCATTCAGAGGAAGTGACTAATTAATCTGAAATGGTTGTAAAACTTGATATGGTTCCCTTCAGTTCAGTTTCACACAAAGTGCAGCTCACCTGGGTCTCCCAAAACAATTCTCAAAAAGCTTGTAACTGAATATTTGTGGTTGGGCGTGTAATTTCACTCGTACATCCCTGTTATTAGTTGTAACAGATATCAGCCACACTGTTTACTGATCACTCTTCCAGTTATGTTGGAGCTGTATTTGAGCTATGTTAGGATGCTGCTAATGCAAACTAAACACTTTCTTCAGCAGCTGTATCACAATTACAGATTTCCCTCCACCGGTGGCTTTTCTTGTGAATCAGCAATAAGAAATGTAATGTTTGTCACCAAAGTTATGTTTTTATTATCTATAAATGTTCAATAGAATCGTTGTGCAACAGTAGTTTATTGCAAGGTGGAATAACACTGTTTGATGTAGAGCCCCACCCATGTCAAAGAATGCCAACATTGTCTCATTTACTCTTGCTACAGTGTTGTCGCAATCAGTTTGACAACGCTGTAATGAGTTGAAGGAAAATCTCCAAATAGCACCTTTTTCAAGTTGCTCTCCTGTTTCATCACTGAGCAGATACACAACGCAAAACTGCTTCAGAATTTCTCGAGGAAAGGTCAACACGTGCATTTGCATCACAGCAGAACACTCAAATCCCTATTCAGAACCACTTCATTTGATAGAAAAGTAAGCAGGATGTTGGGTTCCTCTGGGCAAATTTTCAGTGGCCGTCCTGAGTCATTTGGATGATGCAAATTTGCCTTTAGGAACGAGTGTGTGTATGTTTGTGTCATTTAGTTGAGTGAGTAAAAGGCAGTGTGGATATGTTCGTGTGGATGTGTTTGCATGTGTGCTTGGTGTTGTGTGTTTATGGAGATCCTAAACAAATCTGGTCCTTAGTGCTTATGTAACAGGCACAGAAACAATGCCAAAGCATGGAAAATGATGTGCTCCACATCCGACTGCCAGTCTATATTTGTGTGCGTGTGTGTGTTTGTGTGCATGTTGATGTCTCTGTCTTTTGGTGCATGAAATGCTCCTAAACATGAATAGAATTCACTGCAAACCATTTCATTGATTGTATGGTAGCATAACAAACACAGATTTTACTAGTCAGAGCTAATGACAGCTAGTATTGTGTCACAAGAGCATAGGTCCATGTCGCAACAATCCCCTATACTTCAGTCCTTGAGACAGATCCACCCCAACAGGCTGGTTTGCAGAACGTTAGTGGCTAACCCGTACGAAACAGTCAGCTGATCAGCTAAAGATAGCCAGATCTCCATGGCAAAGAACTGGATGGTTTAAATGACAGAAATCATTAAAATAATATACAGTATACCTACCAACAAATCATATTACAGCAATGGCTGTCAGAATTTGAGCTGTTGAGATAAACAAACTCAAATAAAGAGGTGAAGCAGATGGCATGACTTACACGTACAACAATACAGTGGTTTGATTTTTCCTGAGGTGTTTATATATATTATTGTATTCATACTACAGTCTGTCTGTGGATAGAATCAATCTATCTTATCAATGGATCAAATGTGTTGTGTGAAAGGTGCTCTTACCCACAAAAATGTGTTTTTACTGCTCTCTTACTCTTTTTTATACAAGAGCGTAATAATTACTATTTCTATATATACTATAAGCTCAGTGACGAATTGCCCGCTGACCGTGGTCATATTTTCTTGTATGCTCGATCTTTCATCTATTTGCTCCATCAGTGCTTGACTGAATGGGTTTGATGTGTGACAAGGGTGTGTGAGTGTGCATGGGACAGTTACATTTTTCAGATTTTTGTTCTGTGCTTTCATTATTTTATTTTTGTTACCAATTCATTTCCCATCTCTGTATTTTTGACTATGTTAACAAATGCAGCAGTTGTCATACTTCAGGAACCTGTCACTGGCTGCTCGGGCCGTCTGATGTTTTTACTGGGCAATCCTGATTATAATTGGAGAGACAATGACACAATGATACAGCCCACTTCAGGTTTGTGACTTCATGTCATATTTTTATGGTTTCCCACATTGACAGTTTCCCCCCATTAAAGATTGTCCTAGTCGACTGCATGTCGTTTATAAAAAAGATTTCATTATTTAAATACATACATTTTAACATACCTTTAACACAATGAAAAGTGCGACTTCTTAGACTTATCTCAGTGACTACCGGTTAAGTCCACTATTAGGGTCAGCCCTACATATGTTAGGCGAACTGTTATCTCATCACTATATGAAAATAAAGTTCCTGACCAGCTTGACTGAGATAATAGATAACTAGATATATCATTGTTGTTTTAAAATGATGTGCACTTAACTGCAAGTGCACACGCATATGAACAAATAGTTCAATTTTACTCTCAGTTGTCAGGCACAAAGTCACAGAATATCCCTGAAAGTGGCTGACCAGCCAGCAAGACAGACAGACCAGAGCACATCAACCTCATTACTGGTATTTACTGACATCAAACTTGTACTCAAAAACATAATAGTAATAATAGTCAAAGTAGAGGCTTCTGTTGACTATTGGATATATTTTGCAGAGGAAACAATATGCGGCTCTGACAAAAGGGTGGTTGAGTTTGTCAGTTATAATTGACCAGGTTACATTTATTTGGACTCTTCTTGACCTACAGATTAAAAAATATATATACTTTGAATTTTTCTTTTGGCTGGACCGCAGCAAGAGGAGAGCCATACGAACGCTAAGGACCGTGAGTTACTGAGTGAGTGATTCAGTTACACCATTGGTCCAGTCAAGTGCTGGAGTTTCCTGATTGATCTTTCAAAATGAAGAGGTGTGAATGAGCCTGGCTGACAATTCTGATCCTCTGCTCTTTTCTAATCACATGTGCAGCTGATCTTTATCATAACCTCATGCATTTTGTGCTCATGGATAGATGGGGTGACGCTTTATCTGCAACAATGAAGTTAAAAGGGCAGGAGGTTTATACGTTTCACCCCAGTTCCACCCCACATGATGGAGTCGTCCCAGTCAACCAGTAAAAGTATTTATTACAGCGAAAGGCAGAAAATCCCTTGCTGGCTTCCCACTTAATAACATGGACAGTTGTGTTTGTTGAAACGTGAGATGAAGCCTAGGTATTCTGATACCTCTGGCTCTGCTTGTTGGCTGTGAATTTAGCTCAAGTATGTGCTAGTTGTGCCCCTTCAGTGACTGTTTCTGAGAATTAATGCCAAATTAATTTTATCACAGCCAAACAGGTTTAACCAATAAAACGCTGTAATGGAAGGATAAATAAACATTAAATAAACATTGAACTGATTTAAAAATGTAATTACATCAAAACTGAATTAAATTCAACTCACTCACAATGTCTTGGCCTCCAACTTCTCCCAGGAGCGACTTTTAGCATTAAAATACTTCTCTGGGAGTTTTTCCTAACTCTTAAGATGTTTTGTTGGATGTCGTATTATCAGATGTATGCCATCTACGCAATGTTTCTATCCTACCATTTTATCTGATTCTTTATTCTGAGTCATTACTAGATGCAAAAAGGTACATCTGAAATTCCTGTAGGCTTTAATGATCTTAGACTCATAGGTACAAGATCATCAAAGCCAGTGAATCTCTGCAATCAGGGAACACAGCAACATTGCTGACACCACAGGGCAGGAAAAGAACAATGACATGATCAAACTGGGTAAAGAAACCAATAATTTAGCCAGTTTATCTAAAGCATCTCTTAAGTACTTTATTTAGAGGTAAAACCCATAATTTGTTGATTGAAGCCTGACAGCAAGTAGGTCCTGGGTTGCACTTAACCAAGGCGCTGGCTCAGATCTGGAGTTGTTCCCCAGGCCACAGCACGGTGGCTGTCGATTGCTCTTAATACTTAGGATGGGTCGAATTCAGAGAATGAATTTCCCTGTGGGGATAAATAAAGGATACTTCAACTCAATATTCACTCACTGAATAGCTATAAAGCTGCATTCTGAGATCTCAGTAATTAACTTGGTGGCTTAAATTATGTTTTTACAGACAGGAATGATGGCCAGAATTACTGAATTACTCCAAATTAAACAATAAAATAGGTAAATTGGACATCGCCCCCACAGAAGGACACGCATAAGAGTTTTCTATTATTTTTCAATAAATGTGCCAGCATAAGCCAAAGGGCTCATTTTCATGTCTTGGCCAAATGTTGCATTAAATATTAAACAACAATAAAACAATCAATACGTAAAATCATAATGAGAAAGCAGTTGAAAACATAATCCATCTGAACAGAAGATTTAAAAAGCAAAAAAGGAGTAAGGCAAGAGAGTAGGAAATGTACAACGCATGCAATAAATACAAAACAAAAACATGGTAAGCAAACAGTCAGTACAAGCAGTTAAAACATATCATCACAAGACATAGATAAAAACCAAAAGGGACACAATCTTACAAACACAGACATAGTCAAGCAAATTACAACAGGGAATGCATGCATGCATGCAAGTTTTAAGATTATATGCAAAAATAAGATTATGGAACATAATAAAAAAACAACAATATTACACAAATAAAGTGCTCTGTTCTACACCATACTCTATAATTATATTAAAACGTATTCACAGAATGTGTAAGGTCAATGGGTTCATCATAGCCTGGTGTCCCTGCCCACTGAGCGGCTGCATAATGCTGCTCTCCAATGACAGAGCTCAATGCAGGAGGGTGCAGATTGTCCGGGATTCAGCACATGATTTCAACTAACAACAACTAATTTCAATAAAAAAAAAAACATTAAATCAAACCATTACTTTTTGTTTCTGACATTTTTCTACAGTTAAAGAGGTGTTACGTTATGTCGCAAAGCAGAAAAACATCCTTATCTTTACCCCGCTGCTTTGGACTGTGTCACCGTGCCAGTTTCCTTGTTAACTTTAGCAACACATGCACACTCCCCATTTGCTTCAATTAGATAAAGCTCCATTGTGGGTGCATGTGGGTGCATGTGGGTGTCCTCACCCGGAGGGCATGTGGTGCCCTGGAGCATAAACTGGTAGCCATAATAAACATCAATGGCAAAAATATCTATTTAAAAATGCTTTTCAACAATTTATGACATGAACAGTAGAATGGTTGTTATGAGTCTAGTTAGTTATTCTCCTTCCCATAAAGTAGATTTCTGATAATGACAATAATAATAATAACTAGAAAATTCCTAAAGAAATTTTGATTGTGCCTTGCTCTGGCCCGTATGTTAATACTATATATATATTCTCTTTAGCTGGCTAGCTAGAGCTAGCACACATAAACACATTAACCAAAGCTAGCGCTTAGCTACGCGCTAACCACTAGCTATGTGCTAATCACTAGCTGATCGCTAATCGCTAGCTAAGCGGTAATCGCTAGCTGAGTGCTAGCTTTGGTTAATATGTTTAATTGTATTATGCTCCTGAAGGAGTGCTAATGTAAATTAAGGAACAGCTCATAGCAGGGTAAAATATTTAAGGTGTATTGAACTTATTTTGTGTTAATATTAAAATCATTCAGCTTTAAATTGTTTGTTTGTTAGCCACCTGCTAATTATCTTTAGCTAGCCAGCTAGCTTATTAATGTCTTGTCAGCCTCTGTAGCTAGCTGTGTGTGTGTGTGTGTGTGTGTGTGAGCAGGCTTTGGTTGTCATGGCAATCAGGGGAGCCCACAGCAGCTGCGCGCGCTCTCTCTCTGTCTCTAACTCCTCAGAGAGACAGAAACATTTCAAATGAATCCCCTCGAACCCATGGCCAGGAACGACCGAAATGAAAACCAAAAAGACCGTGAGCGTCGTCATCTTGTTGACTATAGCACTGCCGAGTTTCATTGGCTAAAGTTAAAAAATGTGACCTGGGGAGATTGAGAGAGAAGAGGTTCAACGAGCTCCTTTAAACATTTCTTCTCTAAAATTAACATGGGAGTAAATGGGGCCGTGAGAGGGTGTTGCTGGCGCATCAGTGCATCTCCCGCCAAAAGTATTTCTCTGACAGCTTCAGCAGTGGTATCACTGCGACCCCAACGGATTTACCTACGTTTCTATCTATAAATTCTTCCTGTAGAGTGACATTTGTGGTCTTGAGAGCAGTTTACAAATTTATTTTTCGACAAATTTTTCTCTCTCCCCACACTCTAGCGATGATGTCACGCACTCTGGCGGTTGAACATTCTCGCAATACACACCCATTCATTTTTTGGACCGTTTTTTTGCGATTTACCGGCAAACCGTTTGGCGAAACGCTTAGAAAAGTCATAGCACTAATGTCCTCACCGAGCCGCACGTTTTGATACCTTTTTTGTGTACGTGCGACCAAAACTGCGGGAGGAGTAGCGCGCCGAAAAACGTACGGAAGAATAATAAGCCCGAGGGAGAGTAGTATTGTGCTTGCTTATGCAAGGCACAATAATGATAGAGTTTCACTGTTGTGCTGGGTTAGGGGTCGGCTCTGGTCATACAGGCTACATTTTATCCCCACTAGAAACCGCATCATGTTTTTTGTTGTTTCTGTTGTATCATGGTCATCAGTAAATTTAATTTCATGATATTTCTCTCCTACTTCTCCTTCGCTACACTACTACAGTGTACAAAATGCGAATCTAGCTCATATCTACAGCCAGTGTGTGGTTTGTCAAACATAGATAGAACAATAGAGCTTCCTAAATGTTACACACTGGACTGTTGGTTTGTAAGATTTCTTGTTGAACAAATCCTCTGTGCTAACTATTACTGTCCTGTATCCAACCAACAAGTCCACTATGTTGCACAACTGGAAGCACTGGCTCTCGATTGGGCCTGTCACATTCTTTATGAGTTCTCGTACATGCTTGGAAGGCTGAGCTGCATTCAGTTGGTTGCAATCTGCAACTTCACCACTAGATGCCACTAAATCCTACTCACTGGTTTTTCAAGTGTTGTTAATCCATTTCTTAGTCCAACATTTTAAAAGATTAGACTCTTGTTTAATATCTCTTAGGTCTGTAAAAAGTATTTCCGGTTTAATTAAAAATATTATAGGTCTCATAATAATACCCAATAATATTGTCTGTTATTCATACTCAGACGTTTGCATTAACCTAATTTCCTTGTTTCTGCCTCCCAAAACCACAAATCTGGATAGTTAGTCTCAATCTTTACATAAAGCTTGTGTAAACACAGTAGTAAGATAGAGTTTGAAAAACAGTGGAGGGGTGACATTCACTCAACAGCTAAAGATGAAGAGATTTTAGGACAGAGGTGAACTCTAGCTCCCTTATTTTTTAGTAAGAAAACATGAACATACAATAAGTGTCCATATTCATATCTATATCTTACATATAATGTAATATTTATGTATATAATAACTGTACATAGTCTATGGTCCATATGCATGACAAAAGTCAGTCACCTTACCTACTGTCAGCCTCTGCAGCACAATGGACAACAGAGAGTCTGGGTAATAATTTGAATGCATCTTCCCTGTCATTTGAATATCAGATATATATATAGATAAACAAGCCTCAGTTTTGTACTTTTTCTTTCATCGGACATTTTGCCAGCCCCAATATTACCATGTCTGTCCAAGTATTCAAATCATTCAACTACTCTTTTCTATTGGTGATTTCCTTGGCAACACTGAAAACCCTCGGCCACAGAAAGCACAAGGTGCATCAGGGGAACAAATTCATGCTTGTATCCTCTTTGATGAACCAAAGTTAATTTGGCATTAAAAGGGACACATTTATTGAGGTTTTGAATAGAAGGGCTTGAAAGTAAACATTTGGATCACCAGCCAATATGGCTATTAACATTTAGTGACCAACCAGTCTGAAGTTCCATCAGGCATGAAGTAAAACAGATTAGGAGTCACTGCATCCATTTCAGCACATGCAAATTGAATGGAAAGCTGCCAATTACAACTTGAAATTCCTCTTGTATAAAGTGAAATTTCGGTCTTGGAGGTTAAACATCAGGATTAATCCTCTGAGGATCATTATTGTTCATAGTGATCTTATAATAGTTATAGTCGACCTCAGAGTGGGTGCTGGAGAGGAGATTAGAGTGTCAACAAAATCCTCCTCTGTGGACCATTTATTCCAAACTGTAGTGTGCCTGCAATAACTCTTAGATTTTAGAAGACTGTAAGCAAATATTACCAAAAATATAATAATCTATGTTGGGACAACGCACTGAAACAGAAAGTGCCTAAAGGAATGATAGCGATAACATGGAATAAATAATACCAGTGTGACAAAAATTAAATAAATGCAATAGAGACACCATAGGAATATTATATAAATACAATCACCATTATACTCTTTTAGCACCATGGCCAGAGTCTGTGTAGGAACATTATATTGACATGAAGACACTGAAAGACCAGCTGTACGGTAAGAGAGTATAGTAAGGCCCATTAAAGGACCAGTGTGTAACATTTAGGAGGATGGCTAAAATAAAATGATAAATGACTTATAGAACAGCTAAATATATATTGAATAATAATGTAAAAAACCAGCTTCTCTCAGTGAGAATCATAGCTGCTGCTGTTATACTACCAGCTGCATAGACTGCTCACACTGTTCCTTTTATTTCCACCGCTGCGCGCACTCCAGCGCCTGCTCTCGGGCACGCGCGTAAGGGGGGGGGTTGCCGGGAACGCGCCGGAAAATCTGAGCGTGTGCCCGTGAGAGCCGGTTAAGATACCAACCAACGCGTGAAATGGGTGGGGGGAACTGCCACTTTAATTTGCTCCTTAATGCTGCATTCAAGTGCGGCTCGTAAATCTCAGGCTCCTAGTTTAAAAACTGAAAACACTGCTGTATCACCGAGCGGAGCCTTTAAGTGCTTATGGTTGGCAGTTACTCATTTAATGGATCCTGAAACGGAGTTACTTTGAACGGTGAGGAGAAAAAGTGCATCAGGCATGTTTAGATTTCAAGTTTAAACCGTGGCACCTGTTTGATTTTGGACATTTCACACACATACATAAGAAAATAGTTTGATTAAAACTTAATTTAAATTGCCAGGCTTACATAACAACAGCAATTCCTACACATAGTACTGTGGCTGTTGCAAGGACGCTGCCTTCAAGATTTAAATCCCTCAGGAACTATAAAGAAATATCCTTCACCACAAATGCATTTTGGATTTCACCCAGTGGATGCGGAAAGCTGCACAGATCGTCTCATTTGGCATCCCTTACACCTACAGTCCGCCGGTGTAACGGGCGCACTTACAAGAATTCCGAGGTTTCATGTGGGCCCTGAAGGCGTCAGAGACACAGCTCTCCTGTTGCTCAGAGAGGAGGCAGGCCGGTGATTTTCCACTGCTGCTGATGTCTCTGGTCCCCCCGTTTTAAGAGACAAAGGTCAGAAAGAGAGGCTTATAAGCAGGCTAAAATATAGGCTACCGACGCGTCCAACCCTCAGTCGCTCTCACAGACACAGGAGGACACGGACAAGACGAAACGGACAAGGGACCGCGCTCAAAGGACATTAAAAGGACAAAATAAAACACAAAATCACATCATCAGAACAGGTAACGGAAAAAAAACGACACCCTCGTTGCACACCTTTAAAGGCAGGCTGGGAGGGATGCTCTCTGTCGTTTTCTCATGATTTTTACTGTAATTAGGATTTGAATGGGTTTATTTCTTTCTGTACTGTGTTTGAATGAGAGCAGGGTTTTTTTTTTTTTTTTCTTCCTCTGCTAAACAAGAGGCGCAATTAAGAAGAGTTCCTGCGCGTTTATGGGTGGAAAAATCAATTAGCAGTGTTTAGTTGTATTTATTGCTGCTTTTTACTGTGTGGTGTGTGTGGTGTGTGTGTGGTGTGTGTGTGTGTGTGTGTGTGTGTGTGTGTGTGTGTGTGTGTGTGTGCAGGGATGTGTTTCCTGGTGAAGCTTGATGAGGAAGCTGCGATGTAGATTTGGATAAAGGCTGCTCGCTCTGTGCGTCCGTGCGCTCCGGAAGGATCGCTGGTGCATTTGATCCTATTAATAATAATAATCATTATTGTTATTCCTATAATGACTCATTTAACTTAATACAGCGTTTTTCAGGGGACTGATAGCGGAGCATCGCGGTCAGGGTTTATCGTAAAATGTGTTTTAATTTGTGTCCCCCCCCCATGTGTTTTGCATGTGTTAGGTGCGGATTATTTTCCACAATTCTTTTAGGGGATCGTTTATTTTTTATGATTTTTGTTGTTGTTTGAATAATCCATTTTTTTAGACTTCAGTCGCTCCTCAGTTATTTTATCATCTTTGTCTTTTTTATTTTATTTTTTACATTTATTTGTACACCTGTATATACCCGTACGCTATTCAAACGAAAGGAAATAGTGAAGACATTTATTTTCGCTTCATTGGATTGACTTTAACTCATTTAGTTCCGTTATTTAACTAAAGCAGAAAGGGGAAGTGAGGCGCTCGGAGCGGTGAGCAGGCGGAGATGCTCGTCAGTCGCACGTTGCACACCGCGCGCTGTTCTTCCAACCACGAGTGTCTCTCTCTCTCTCTCTCTCTCTCTCTCTCTCTCTCTCTCTCTCTCTCTCTCTCTCTCTCTCTCTCTCTCTCTCTCTCTCTCTGTGTGTGTTTGCAGCCTCGCTCTCTCATAGTCTCTCTACCTTTGTCTCGCTTCCTCTTTTTCTCTCTCTCTCTCTCCCTCCCTCCTCTCTCTCTCCTCTGTGTTGGGTGAACAGCCTCACTGATTAAACACTTGCTGTGACAACGAAGACACGATTTTGCAATATGTTTTTAATATTCAGGAAAACAAAGTGTGTTATTTATATTCTGGATCATTTTGCAATTTTTTTCTAACACTCATTACACCTCAAATGTCAGCTGCATGTAGAAGTGTCAATCATCTTGTAATCACAAAGAAAAAGTTTTAATGAGAGCTGTAGAATTTCTTCAGTTGGCAGTGGGTTGAGATAGCTGCTTCCATTTTGGATCAGTTTCAACATTGGAAAATTACCCAGAGTTGTTAACGCTTAACCGTCTTAAAAAACTTACTGCAAAGAACACTGTGCAGAACATCAGGAAGCCACATGTTGGTATTTTATATTAAGTCAATTAGCTATACTATTTAAATTTTAAACGTGTGAAAGTTAAACAATGTATAGATCTGATAAGTTGTTGCAAAACTAGTTTCAGAGTCAACACCATGCTATCAAACTCTATGACCATGTTTGGTGTTAGAGTGCCCGCTACAAGGTGACACGGATGTGAGCATTTTGAAGGGTGATATTCTTCTTTACTTCCAGATGTCTGTTGCTGTATTTTGTGGCCAGTATTGTAAGGATTCAGCTTTTTGTCCAAATGAAAAATCCCCTGAAACAGCATTTAGACCGCCATGAGACAATAAAACTGACCCCTGAAAGCCAGAGTAAAGAAGTTCGTGATAGCACTTTAAGATATGGTGACATACTAAGTTAGCTTTTGGGGGAAGTAGAGAAGGTGGCAGAAAAAAAATCTGAAAAAAGTATTGTAGCTGTAGTTGGGGTGGAACCTCCATTGTTTTCAAGCTGGATGGCGGATAAACTGGTACAGATCCTACCTTGGTTACTACTACACAGACACAAAGCTTTCCGTGTGTGTGTGTGTGTGTGTGTGTGTGTGTGTGTGTGTGTGTGTGTGTGTGTGAGACCGCGCCTGGCCCTGAGTTTAATGTAATCTTGGCTGCTGTAGAGTCTTTGTCGAGCTGATTTGACAGTCTTTTGAATCGGCCACTGTGAGCTACTGCATCCACAGATACACCACAGGTGTGTGCATAATGCTCTCTTTGTGTCCTGTGTTTCTGTGTGTCTTTTGGTGAGTCAGCATCTGATCTAAGTAAGTTCTTGTATATCTGCACTCAAGTTTGAGTTTGAATGCGTGCTATGACTTGACACATCCAAGCAGATTGAGGGGCATTGGTCAGCAGAGTGTGATGAATCAGCCGCTTCTTGTAATGTGCTAACACCTTTAAACTTTCCGATTCATTTTAAGGTTTCATGATCCAAGATTTAAGGTAGTAATCCTCAAGATCCTTTGATTTCTTCTTGGATGGAGTTCTAGCTTCTGTAGGTGGCATACTTTCTCTTGCAGCTCAGCCAAGCTCTCAGTTTTTAATCTGATCATGAAAAAAACATCATTTCAACACATGAAAAACATCACTTCCTGTGTGCCACGGGGTATTTAAAGGGAAACGTATACAGTTACCTGTTTGCACTGGCAAATATAAAGCTTTCATGGAGTGGATATATTTCACAGCTGTAGTGTTACATCAAATGGCCATTTATTTAAATGAAAGTGTGCTGGGATTTAGTAGTTCTTGAGTAATGGTTGTTTGTCCTCCTGTCAGTCAGTCAAGGCTGCTGTATTAACTGCAGGCATGTTTGCATTTATTAAGTAACTTGAGGTCAGTGGAATTTGTGTGTGTGTTGGTGAAATCTCAGCCACAGGCACAGCAGCACTCCCAGAGTAGTTCCTACAAATGAAAACCGAGAGAGGCTCCAGTCACACAGTAAATAAAAACATCACCTAGTTACACTGCACGAGCCGCTGTCAGACTTTTATGACCGGGCGTCCTTGACTTTAGCTCCGGCTGGACCTTGACTGTTTCTTTACATATTAACCAGCATGGACCACTGACCCACATACACTCACGTTAGTACACAACCCCTTCATTGTCATCAGCGCTGCCCTATTAACCTGGTATGATTTTGTATAATTGTGTTGTAGTTGTAGCTAATAATTGTGATCAGCAGCTCTGAAAGATTTTATTCACAGCTGAAGGTGAAAGCAGTAAAGATGTTAATTTATGGCCAGCACTCATGGGAGGGTCAGGCTTAATGTTACTGAATGTCAGTTATTTTTGTCTCCAAATGCACATCTTAATGCATTGTCTGAATGATGGAAGCCAATCATTCTAATGGAAGGTGAATGACAAGACTGTGACAAACCAGCACCCCCTTTTGGCTGCCGGACCCGTTTACCAATGGAGGATGTTGGATGAACTCTGCATCCAAAAATGGTTCAGCCGAACAACAATTAAAGATTTCATGAAAAGTTTGAACATCTATGTTCCATGACAACTGAACAAACAGCTGAAGACCGTGTATGCATCAGAACAAGTGGGTGGGCAAATTTTTGGTTGGCCGTTGACCAACGTATGAGGGATATGTGTGGATCATTAGAGCAACCAGAAGGTGGAAGTATCAACTTTCAAGTGAAAGAGTTAATGGAAGCTTTGAGCATCTACAGTTTCATGACAATTGAGCAAACTCAATCTGCTGATGAAGACAGTAAATGGTAAATGGACTTCGCGGTCAGAGATCTCCACAAGTGAGTGGGGGGGGGATTAACCGTCAAGCTCAACTTTAAGTCAGCATTGATAAAAAAAAAATCCTAGAGGTGCTCATATCATGGACAGTTTTGTCATCCACTGTTGGCAGGGCTGGGATTGTGTCGACTATTGCGCTCCAATTGTTAAAAGAGATTATTTTATAAACTTCAATCCATAAAAATAATCTTAAAATTACAATGTTTCAAATTTTTGTTTGATTATAGCATCTTTTAAATTCTAATGGCATGTATTATGTACAATCCTGGGAAGGTTAGCTGCAGTATGTGTGGCTATTAGCAGCATGTGATCCTGCTTGCTACTTTGTCACCACCAGATGGCGCCAAAGTAAGGAAGCATCTTTTGACAAATTTGCTGAACACATTTTAAGTTTTATTATCAATTCATCAAAATGTTTTTCTCAGTTAATCATTATTATTCATTATCTATAAAATAGTGAAAAGTGTTTATCACCATTTTGAGAAGACCAAAGTTACTGATCTGCCAATTAGTTATATATTTAAATCGAATAATTGATTAATTGACTAATTGTTTTGTCTCTAATTTAAAGTACTGTCAAAAAAACAAGAAAATCACAAGTTTTTGTGAAAGGGGTTCTTCCTCATAGTGATGAACCCACACAGAATAATCACACGACTTAACGACAGTTCCACTCCGCTCCAAATGAATGTTAATGTTGCTCATTATCAGCTGTTTCCTAATAAGTTGGCCTTATCAACTTAAAAGGTGTCAGGAATGTGTATAGCTTGTTTCTGCTACCCCCAAGTGGCCAACAATTTGTTATTGCAGGTTTAAAAAAACAAGAAGCCATTCATTATTATAGAATATTCTCTGAAAATGTTTGTCTCATGCAAGATATCACAAACTCCTAATACTGTATGTTAAGATGCTTAACTGCCATTACTGAGAAACACTTGACTGCTAATTCTGTCCTCCCCTTCAGTGGGGCACTCAATCTACAAGCACGGGTTAACTGTTTAACTGAGGTAGACCCGTTACAGCTGACTTACTATCATGATTGTAAATGGCCAGAAAAGTATCTTCTCTTCTCTTTTTTTTTTTTTTTTTTATCAAATCGCATGATTCAGACTTGCTGGCAGCAGAATAGTTCATCATCTGACTCCAGTGTTCATGTGGAATTTGCAAGTTAGCAGTTGGTTCTTCTTACATATCTGATAAGATGAGAATGCAG